GGGTTGTCCGGAAAGTTCATGCCGCAAAAAATTTAACTTTATACTTTAATAAATGTATATTAAAATTTAAATCTGCGTTTCAATTTTTCTTCAAAAGCGGCACGAACTTTCCGGACAATTCAATAGTAATTCAAATCAATTCAGATTGAATTATTTAAACAATAATAAAGATTTAATTTTAACTGTTATGGCCATTACTTCTATTTCTTATTGTTGAACATTAATAATTTTATTTATAAATATTTATCTGCTTATTAAAATTAATCTAATATAAAATCTGATCATAATCATTTTGAATGATATTTAAATAATCCAATAAATAGTTTAATTGCATCCATACACGAATATTTATTGAAATAATAATGAGAATGTGTTTAAAATATTATTTTATTTTTTTATTGACATAAATTCAATTAACATAAGCTGTATGTATTCGTATATAACTCATCTGTGCTTGATAAAAATCTATCTTTCAACGGTACTTTTCGTGCAAATTTATAATAGTGGAATTTATAATAGTTATACAACATATATTTCATAGTATCAATTTCATATCTCAGTTTCAAGGTCATTATATCACATTTTATAATACAAGACATTAGATGTTATTTAAACGTCTTTTAATGTCTTTGTAAGATTTGATATATTTGATGCATTTTAGTTATGTAACGATTTATATGTAACGCATGGAGAATAATAATTATTAATTACAATATATTGATATTCGTGAATAGATAAGTTAACAAACCGTATTGCATTTTCAATCCTTAAAAGCATTTTTGAGAGTGTAAGCATGGATAACACAAGTATGCAAATACAAGACTTCTGTAATACGAACATATAATATAGAGAAAATTATTTTTTTTTAACATATACTTCTCTCTCATATTTAATAATGGAAAGAAATAGAGAAACGATATTTTTTAAATACAATTCTGCAATTTAAATAGTCAAATAATACTAGCTGTCATTTTTAAAAGATTACAAACTCGTAGAAAAATTCCAATTAAAATATACAATAATATATCAATCTCATGATATGAAATATTGTCAAGTTAGTATTATGATGAGCTAAATTTACAACTATGTGCATTAATAACTAAATTCATCTAAATATGCTTTGGTAGAAGCATGATAAAAACTATACAACTAAAATTAAACAAAATGTAAAACTTCACATGGAAGTCGGAGACCAAAAATTCATCTCTCTTAGTTCTGATGGTTTAGCTTCGAGCACATTTACATAAACAGATGACTTATCCACCGATTTTTCTTCTTTCCCTATATATGTAAGATTTTGAGACGATATTGATTTTTTTCGATTAAGTGGCTTGCGTGGCTCCATGTCTGGAAAAAGCTCATCTTCCTCATCTATCTTTGCTGTAATTACTTCCCTGGATTGACCTAATATGCTTGCCAAAATCCAATTACCCTGATATTTTTCTTTATCCGGTACAAATGCACCAGTGAAATATCGGTTATGTAGCTTTCTACGTGCTTTCGGCGAACTGTCTGGAGATCCTGTTGGTGATGTCAGTGGTGTCGCTGGTAATGATTTGCTGACACTTTTCACCGAGTTCTCTGTCTGCTGAGAACGCGAATCCGATGTGAATACTTTGGTGAATTTACCAGACATCATTTGACTAGCTACATGAACGATTGATTTGCCACAAAGAGCCGGTTCACCATGAAAACCGTCATCCGTCCCCTGTGATTTAAGTTTTACATTTCTCGCTGAAGCTTTATCTACTCTAATACCACCAGCTAAAATAATATATATCATTATATCAATAGAATAATATCAAAGAAAGTTTATTTTGCAATTATTGAAAGTTTTTTCGTGCTGATTGGATTATGTTTTTAGATCTAAAAGTATTATCCAAACAGGATGAAAAAAAAAACAGTTCCAACAATTGTAAAATAAACGTTCTGCTGAACGCGGGCAATGATAATATTGTTAATCAGTGTATTTAAAAAAAAACAAAATTTTTGATAATATACCTGTATTATTTACAACCGGTATAAACGGTTGACATGGCAATGGATGTTTGCTAAAATCAATTTGCTTGACCTCTTTCAAGTCAGAAATGGATTTTTCATTCGTTATCTGATTCGTAGAGCTCGCAATATTTTCATTTAAAACCTCAGTTACAATGTGCTTCAATCCGTGTTGTGGTTGAGTATTTTGCGATCTTGGATATCTTACATAAAAGAAACTATCGTCATAAGATGGTGGACTGAATGCGGCTTCGTCAAAATCAAATCTAAAAAAAGTATATTATGCCTGTAGCATATGATGCAATTTTTTATACTAGGTCACATGTAATCTAGTAAACCCAATACACTTACTAAAATCAATACATAGGACTGTTCAGATTCCCATTTGAGTGTCACTCAGATATCATTTTATCCTTATCAGAGTGAGATTTCATTTGTGCGTTTTTGATAAATCATATGACAAATGACTACAGAACAGAAAGATTTCCGAAATCGATTTCTCTATTTTATAGTCAATAGGCTTAAAGAATAGAATTAATAGGCGTAAAAAATGTTTTTCAAAAAAGATGCACAAACATAATAGCACCTTTGGGCTAATATTCTATTTGTTGTATAATCAATTTTTCAAGAATGTTGATTGACTGTAAAATAGAAAAATTTTTATGTTTCTAGAAATCCTCTATCTTGTGGCCAATCAAAACACTTAAAATCTGTCACAAGAAAAATGAAATATTAGTCTTATTCTAAATGTTAAACAAGGATAAAATGATACCTTGGGTGTACTCGCTTTGGTGCTCACAACACTTTAAGCATCGTTTCATCTTTGTTGTTTATTAAATATTAAACAAAGACAATTAATACTCATAAACGCTGTAAGTGCCAAAGCAAATGCAGCCCTGGAAAGCACTCAGCTAAGAATTTGAACATCCTAAAACACAGAATTTTTAATAATTTACTAGATTACAAATATAAAATCATATCAAGCTATAGCTTTTACATTAATACAAAATAACAAATATTAAGATTAATATATATTAATTAATTAATACTTAACACAAGTACTTCAAATTCATATATTTTGTATAGAACAATAATAGCTGTATAGTTTTAGAAACACTTTATCCAATAGAAAGAATATATACAAACATACTTAACTATAAATAACACATAAGCCAATTTGGCAAAATATCAAATGCATGCAATAACAACTTCAAACATCCTGATGTCATAACTAGTAATTATAATAATCATTTAGGTATAAAATTGTTATAAAAATATCTCCATAAAATGTGTTCAATGATCAAATTTATTAGAGATAGAACCTACCTATTATCCATTTTTCCTTTCATCCATTGTGGCAATGAAATTCCACTACCAAGAGATCTGTCCTGCTGCCTCGAAGTATCCATCTTTGTGTAATTTTATAAACCAAATAGCAAGCTTGAATTCTTTATGTTAAGTAATAATTACGCGTGCTCTTAGTGCAGACACTACCGTGTCTGCTGATACACGAATTCACAAAATGACATGCCAAAAGATGATGCTTTGTTATCCATCTTATCTCTCACAAGATCGGTATAGGTATACGTGCTATTGTTTGTACAGTTGTATAATACAAGAGAAATTAGTAGCAGCAATTCAATTTTTAGAATTTCGACCAAGTTACCGTTCGATTAATCTGCAAGTTCGCAAATGTTTAGGATACAGAAAAAATAAAAATTCCATTATTAATATACAATGAAAACAGATATGTGAGATGAATCAATACTTACTTTCTTGTTCATGGATAAAATATTAATGATAATCTTCATAATTATAACCTGCCACAGAAATAACGAATAAACGCAATATTGATAATAATAATAAGATTACGCCATGTTGATAACCATAATGGCTGACAAATCGCTGCTGATGGCGCATGCGCACAATCACAGAAATCCTAATGAACACTAGGGAATAAGGAGCTCCGCACAATAAAAGGAACAGGGAACAGAGAACAGAATAAGAATTTCAACCTATCAGAAACTGTGTATTCCACAATACATGATTTCTGATAGGTCGAAATTCTTATTTTCTGTTCTCTGTTCCTTTTATTGTGCGGAGCTCCTAAGAATACGACACTAGAGATTTAACCTGATTATTGCAATTACGTTCCAAAATTGATCGAAATTGATTGTGTCTTGCGTAATGTTTATTACTTGCTTTAAACACATGAGACAATTAAAAGTTCGGAAAAACACAAATGGAAAGGGAAAGATATATCCGTATTAAAGAGAAAGAAAACAATTTTATTATCTTAGATAAGTGAAAAGCATATATTCGATTACTGATCAAGAAACAATTTATGGCAATATTTAAATATAGTATGGCAGAAGTGGCAGCAAATTTGAAATCTGTTTGCGACAAAATATCATATGCTGTCACGAAGAGAACATCGGTATTCTTTTCCGTGCATTTAGTGTTTAGTATTAATTAAATATATAAGTTATGTATGTAACTGTTATGTATATAACTGTTTAGTACATTTTTTAAATGCGCTAAATAGTTATATAGAGAACATTGCGTTTTCGAACGTTAATGCAAAGGTTAACTCGCATATCAAAATATTTATCTCATTCTTGCAGGAGTATCAATATTATGAACCGCGACTGGTAGCTATTAGCAAATTGCAATCTACTGTCTCAATAGTATCCGCATATGAGGCTGGTCAAAGAAATTTTGGTGAAAATTATATAAATGAGTTAGTGGAGAAGGCTTTCAGCCCATTGATTCTTGAAAAATGCAAACAAATTCGATGGCACTTTATAGGCCATTTACAAAGAAATAAAATCAACAAAGTTTTAAGTATACCAAATTTATATATCATTGAAACTGTCGATAGTGATAGACTTGCAAATGCACTCAATAATTCATGGCCAAAATTTCGAAAAAGAAACGACAGCAAGTTAAATGTCATGATACAAGTTAACACAAGTCAAGAAAAGGGTAATGAGTTATTTATTATATTTTATGTGAGAAGGTTATATTGGATAAAATAATTTTCAGCTCAATATATTTTTTTGGATTATTCTATATAAAAAGAATTGTAATTACAGAAAAAAATGGTTGTGATATTGCACAAGTATCAACCCTTGTAAAACATGTCCTAGAGAATTGCTCTAATTTAAATTTTATGGGTCTTATGACAATAGGAATGTATGGGTATGATATTAAAGATGGACCAAATCCTGATTTTATTTGTTTAATAAAGTGCAGAGAAAAGATACATGATGAATTGGGAATTGATGTAAAAGATATTGAATTGTCAATGGGCATGTCCAGTGATTATGAACATGCGGTAAGGTCTTTAGATGATTATGAATAGTGCATTAAAATACATACAGATTTTATGTTCTTATATGAAATGCATCTATTATTTTCTATTGTAGATTGAACTTGGCAGTACAAATGTGAGAGTAGGAAGTGCCATTTTTGGTGCCAGACCACAAAAGAATAATCAAAAAGATATAATATAATTGATATATTAATTTTGTCTTGAAAAAAGGATATATAATGAAATAGGAATATATTTGTTATTTTAATATATCATCAGATATGTATGTACAAACATTTTTTTTGCAGCAAATATAGTTAATTTTCTCTATTTTAAGTTATCAGAATCAAATGTTTGTTATATTTTTAAGATCTTTTCTAAATTCTTATTTTTATTTTGATTTATATTATTTTGATTTACAATATTATGTGTTCTGTCTTTCATTTTTTTTTTTTATTACTTTAATTCGATCAGTACTAAAGGAATTATACCGAAGGACAATTTAGAAAAAAATGATTGTCTTGAAAGAAGAAATCTTAGAAAATTATTATATATAGAGAAAATTATTTGTAAGGGCTGCATTATAGATAAATACATATATACATTACAATTACAAATAAATATACATAATGATGTGTAAAATATTAATAAAGATCATTAAGATATATTAGAATTAAATTTATGCTCTATTATGTTATATTGATAACTTGTAGTATTATCTCATTTTTTAATTACAAAAACTATATATTACAAATTCCACGAATTTTATGTAAATAAATATTTAATTTCAATTTTATGAACTAAGCAAGCATAAATTACTTATTTGATCTTTTTGATTTTTCTTATCTTACATGATCTACAAGGAATTTTTGTAGGTAACTTCCTGCCTTATTTTCTTGTATGTTTCAATAATAAAATGTAATTAATATAAACTTGATATAAGAACTCTTAACAATCTGTGAAATCAGTGAAATCTACAAATTAATAGTTAAAATAAGTTAAGAAAAAAAATATATTTATCTTTTATTTTAATACAAATCTGATATTTTTACAATTTGAGAATTATATGTACATTTTAGAAATAGAAATTTTAGAAATAGAAATTTTGTTTTATTTCTTCTTATCTTTGTTCAGATTAATTTATAGGTTTATATTAATTGGATAGCATTATTAGTAAATACTACTGCATACTACATTTTTCCACTCTTCTCTCAAACCTTTCTAAATCAAATTTTATAATTGATATAAATATAACACTTTATAAAATAAAATAAATTTTATTAATTTATTCTTATTAATTTATGCATATAACATTGATATGATAAAAGGGCGTGGTCCAATTCCAATCCTCAGCCTCATTATGTCGTACAGACACACATATGTAGGTCACCTTCACCGTTTTTTTTTACAGGAGCATGGTTCAAATGTATCTTGTGCAAGGTCACGAATTACGCAAGTTACTGCTCTTAAAAGTTATGGAAGTCAGTCAGTTACTTTCTTCACAAAATCACAGGTCGTATGCAATCATTGTTCGCTCAGCAGCAGTGATTGATTGATCAAAACTGAAGCGCTACGTTCTATATACCAAGAATTAAAAAAATGTATAACAAAAACTACTAAATATTTTTACATAAATTTCGTGCTGCCATCTTTTGTCTTTAAAATTGTGATAAAAATCATTCTTTGTTTAATTTTGGAGAATACAATTTCGTTTTTGAAATTAAAATTTTAAACACGTTTTATTAATTTTTACGCATTTTTTAATGATAAATAGTTCTTTCATACGTTACTCGAAGGTAATTTTGCTTATAATCGGTATTTTTAAAAATTCGTGACAATTTATTTGTACGAGAAGATATTCTTTGTATTTTAAGGGAACACAAGTTGTGTATTATTTTAAAAAATAATTTGAAATTTAAGAAATATCTTGTAATGTGCTTCTCTTACGTGCTTCTTTGTGCACACGCAAATAACAACTAAAGAAAATCAACTAAATAATTTATAATATACGTCAATAAAGAGACGGCTCCTGTGCAATTTGACGTAAACTTGCATCAGGCAATCATAAATGAGGAGATTGGTGCCCACTGTAGTCCACGTGATGCAATGTTCATGTGCGAAGCACGAGATATGCACAACATTGCATATAAATTTAAAAGTGACATGAGAAATCAAGTTATATATTTATGTTTTAATATGTAAGCGTAGGTAAGCATGAAATAGAATATGAAATAGAATTCACATTTATTCGATTAGTGATTATATTGCCCTACGAAATTTTTTTGCGTTTTTTTTATATTATTTTTTATACTATTTTAAAAATTATACTATGTACACACACACACACACACACACACACACACACACACACACACAGAGAGAGTTATTTGATTATAAAAATGCAAAGCATTGTTTGAAAACTATAGAAAGAATTGTATATTGTATTTAAAGTGATGGGGCTAAAATAAATAAGTATAAGCGAACGTAAAACTTGAATAATAAATGAATGAATCGATTATATGAACACACTCGAGAATTTAAAAACAATTTAAAAATACATAATCTACTTGCAATCTCATTATAATTTTTTATGTTTTCACTTTTCAGTAATCTGTACTATGAAATGCAAAATGTTAACATATTAAAAAAAGATATTGATTTTCACATATATTACACATGCAAGAAAAAATTCACATGATTTTGCGCTCCGAATTTCATAATTGCACATGATTGTAGCAAGAAAACAATATTAGAACCTTAACCGCGTAATCATTGAAGGCGTAAAATATATTCATAGCTTAACAAGATATAAAATTTTATAACTATATGATGCAATAACGCCTTACTATGAACAGTGGCATTCGTACATTTACAACAAGAAGTTTTTGGAAAAAATGCACCATGCACACTGGACAGGTTTTCTTCAGCACGTATAAATAGACTGTTAGATTTAAACAGAGCATTCAATCGTTCCTCGTGTTTCAACGGGAAATAGAAAAACAATCATCATGTTCAAAGTAAGTGCCTTCAAAACAGTTTTAATTATTATTATTTGCGTAATTTTCATATTCATTAATTTATAGAAAGTGATAAAAATATATATAATGAGGTTTTAAATTAAGACAGATTATACAGATTACAAATTATTACACTTTTCTAAAATTATAATATTTGTATTAATTATAAGAAAAGTGTATAACTCATATACTACATGATTCATCAACATTTTAATTTCATAAAATACAGAACGCGATTATCAACATATATAAAACATATATAAAAAACTAATATTTTTATTTTGAAAGAGATTGGACACGATAATGTAATCTGAAAAGACGAATTTAAATGACCAGTTAATATTTTAATAAATAATAAGATATAATATTCCGAAAGTTTTAATTAAGATAAATAAGCGTTATTAAATCTTGCAGCTCTTGGTGGTGTTTGGCCTCTTGGCTGTCGTAAACGTCTGCTATGCCGGCTTGATCGCACCTGCGATCGCACCAGCTGCAATTGCTATTGCTCCCGCTAAAAGTATGGATAATTCTTATTTCACATGATAAAACTAAAAAAGTTAAACATCCTGTACATTAATGATTTTAGAACCACCAAAATCACATACACGAATGATAGCCTTAAGGCTACTATTATTACCATTATTATATATGAATAATGATTATTATTATATATGATAAATTGTCGTTAGAGGATATGAATTATTTTTCTTCCTTTTTTTTTCATCTGTCTATGTATAATAATGGCTCTGTTCTTTTTGGCTGAACTTTTGTATTAGTTCATCTTTCTTCCTCTTCTTTCTTCCTCCTCCTCTCCAGAGAGAAAAGGAAAAAAAATGAACTGATGTAAAAGTTCAGCCAAAAAGAACAGGCCTAATCTTCGTTATAAATTTGTTTCAGCTGCATGGGCTCCTGCCGCTGGATGGAGTGGTGCCGGATGGGGTTCTGGATGGGGTGGTGCCGGATGGGGTGGTGCTAAATGGGGTGGTAACGGCTGGGGTGATGCTGGATGGAGTGGTGCTAAATGGGGTAACAGCTGGGGTGCCGCTCCCATAGGATTTAAGCTAGGCTAAACCTTTTTTACATTGATAAAAAACCCGTCACTATCCCACCAACTATACATCGCAGAATGTACCTTGTCTTTAATATCAGATATATACAAATTTGTTGATGCATTTCGCAATTCTCCCTGAAGTCAATATTCATAAAATTCTTTCCTTTTTCTATTAGAACATTTTTCCTCCGTCCCAACACTTGAAATTGTTGATAAATTGTTGATAAATATCACGAAAAAAAAACATGAAATAATAATAAAATACATTTCACATAAAATACATAAATGTTGTTCTTTCAAAAAACATGTTTTATTCCCAAATGTCTTTCTTCTTACAATTAAATTCTTCCTAAAATGATATGCGTAACACGTTTGATAGTAGCTTCTGCCGCACATCTTATCTCTTTATGATTCGCAATTATAATTCAATTTCTTAAGAAACGACTAGACTTATAGATGAAAAATGAAGCTTTGATTATAGATTATAGATTTTTATTGCGTAACTACTTACATTGTAGTATCATTAGTTTGTCATGTACAGAAGTATATAGTTACAAGAATCGAGTTTTCGAATAAATATATATTATATCATATAAAGTCGCGTGATATAGATGTGATCGATTTAGTAAGCATAAGCAATTCCAATCGGGCTGCTGTAGCTCATATGAGATACCTCAACGGCCGGCGAGTAAGCGACTCCAAGAGCAGCCGGACGCACAGCCGCTGGTATAGCGGCTGCAGCATAAGTCAACGGGGCTGGATGAGCAAGATGAGCATAGGTAGTGACAGCAGGATTAGTTACACGGATATCGGCTTTGCTCGAGCTAGAGAAAGGTGTGTCGATGGTTTTCGTTTGCGTGGCCACTTGCGCCAGATTACCATGGCTACGTAATATATTATCGGATGTCGATGTGATGGCGGGTTGAACGTGCGCTATCGGCTCGATATGATACTGCAGGGCGGAAGGCAGTCCGATATAGCCGGCGTTAGCCACAGCCAAAATGCAGATGATTACGAATAGCTAAAATAGAATTTTCAATAATGATTTAAAACTTTAAGAGCACAGATTTATTTTATAAATATGTTCTTTATACAATATTAGATAAAATCTTATTCATTGCAATTGATTGTACATACCTTAGCTGCCATTATGTTAT